GGGTAAAGCTTTGGAAATAGAGAAACAACAACAATGAAGTGATCTAGTGAGGTGCTTCACAGAGCTGGAAAATGATTCAGTGCCTCATTGCGCTGAAAGACGAGTGTGTGAAAGATGGCAAGGGCTAATTTGTTTTCATGTCACTGAGCCTATGTGTGCTTGCCTAACATGTAAGTTTGTTGTGCGAAAACGTGTCAGAACACCCGTCCGCTGTGTTTTATTTCTACTTTGTGAGTTTCCCCCCCAGACGGTGGCTACACTCGCCGACTACCTGATTGATAACTGCTGTGATGTGCCACTTGTCTGTCCTACTCTATTGAACCGGCTAGCCAACACTAAATGATGATGTTTGTAATCCAACAGTGGTACCCTAAGATTTCTCAGCAGGAGAGACAGGAAAGAGATGGAGTCTGGTCTGTGTGTGTGTGTGTGTGTGTGTGTGTGTGTGTGCTGGGGGGTGGTTGTCTGGCAGCCAAGGCAGAAAAAGAAACGTGGGAGGCTAACGTTAGCAGCCAGTAGGACGTGCTATTACTCTTTTAGAGGCTACAATAAATTTGCACTATTCATCTGTCTTAGCAGCCAGCATAAATGAAATCAGCCTCTGTGAGATGCTCTCAGTGATTCAGTGGTAAATAAAAAGTTGAGTAAACTAATGTATACCCTCCCGTCTGCTGGGAATCATCATAAGCCGCTGCAATATGGAGAAGGGGAAAAAATATATATATATTTTTCAGCAAAGTTTTTGACCTGAAAATTCAATAAGAAGTGGGTAAACTCGTTATTCTGATTTGCACATGTCCACATAGGATGCATTAGCCTTGCTTACCCCAGCATAGCCAGTGGCAGGCCGGCATACATTGTCCTACGAACTCAGGATGAATACTAATAGGTAAAGCAAAAGTAAAAGGTTATAGTTACACATTAGCATTTTTCTGTATGTATAAAAAAAAAAATGCACCATGTAATGATTCATGCTCGGCAGCGTAACCTACAGCAACAAAGCAGAGCGCACCGTATAGCCGCGCTGATGTACGGGGAGAAAAAATTATATTACATCTTCAGCGCCGGGAGCTGCTCAGATTCACGCGGAGGTTTCACACGAGAACGCTTTAACACACCTCAGACTCCTCGCTCGTCATGAAAGAGCAATGTGGAAGCATGTTATTTTGAGGTGTGCTTGAACTAACAGGGTAAAAAATTGAAAAATCCACTGCCCCCCTCCTGCCGACGCGGAGATCAATAATGGAGTCTTTGACCCGCTGATAACGCCGTACATCTGGAAGGGCTCTTTGACATCCAGAGCGGCCTAATCGGGTGTTTGACTCCAAACACTCAGCATTTATGAATATCTGATGAGCACCAGGGTAAGCTTATGAATAAGTGAGGGCCCCAGCTGTGCATCAAATAGATCAAGACTTCACGAAACACACCAGGAACCATGGCCGAACTACATATGGAGCTCAGTTATCGTTAAGAATACGAGTGAAAGTGTTGTGAAAGGCTACGAAAACCTACAAATTTCATTCTTTGTGCTCTGTTTCGCTGAACAAATTCAGAAGCATTTGTAAAAAAAAATACAAATAAATCCAGCTGAATTTTCAACAACAGTTCTGCTAAAACAAAGTCTCCGATTTGTCTGTGCTGTGTGGAGAAAGTCAAGAACGTGCTGATATTCCTGGGGTGACCCCGACACTCCGATGTTTCGAGTCAGTTCTGGGAGAATCTGTCTTGCGTGGAGATTTATTTATTTATTTTTATTATTATTATTATTTTATTTTTGACACTCCCCATGGAAAGAAGTTACCCAGCAGAAAATAATAAAGTTTGAAACCTGACCTTGATGAAGGAGATGAGAAAAAGAAAACATGGTCCTTCAGCACATCTGTGCAGGGAGGGCAGAAAGCAAGGATGAGGAGAGTGAAAACATCGTCTGTGTGTGTTTTGCCTCCATGTGTGTTTGTCCCTGGAGGTGGTGGTGGTGGGGGGTGGGAGGCGTCGAGAGCGGTACTTGCGTGCGCGCATTCATGTGTGTGAGCAGCGGAGGGGCGATTGTTCGTGCACATTGTGCGAGCATCGATTGACAACAAGCAAAGCCGGAGCTGGAAAAAGCACAGGATCACAAAAAAAAAAAAAGAGAGAGAAAAAAAAAGGGACATTCGCCTTTTTCTGCGTTTCACCCTGACACGGAGCGATGGCAAACATGATGACTCACAATAAGAGAGCAAAAATCAAATCCTCAACATTTTGAAACTGATGCTTCTAGCTGCAAGGGTTTGAGATTTTAACAGTCTTGGAATGACCCGAACCATTAGTGCTTTGTCATCTGCACACAAACAAACCAAAACACACTCCTATTCCACTTTCCTTGGTCCGTTTTAGTGAGATCTAAAACGGACTCGCACCTCAAAACGGCTGTTGCGTTGCACCACATAAATGTCTGCAGTTACGTGTCGTTAATGATGCCCATGTCAGCACTGAGCACCGCAGCCGGCCATCTGCTAACTTTTGTTCTCCCTCTTTCCTCATAACTCCCTAATTTTCTAAAAAGGGTTTCATACCGAGCAAACGCAGCGCTGATGGTGTCTGCGTGGGCTCTGGCTACAACACAAGGGGGAGTGCTAATGACTATAGTTAGCTTCCCTCAAGAGCCTCAAGCAGTTTGCCAATATTTGCCCTAACCTTAGATGATTGCATTTACTTTACACTTAGGTATTTAGCTGATGCCCTTATCCGGAGTGACCTAGCATAAGTGAGCAAGCAGGGGCTCAGCGTCTTCCTCAAGGACTCTTTAAGTAGAAACATAGAGATGCTTTTTCTTTTTTTTTTTTGGGGACTGAATCACAGGACCTGGACCAATTACAGTCTTTCAGACCACAAGGCCACTCTGCTGCCTACCTCAGTCCGGGTTGTATCACCTCACAGCCTCAGAGTACAAACTGAAAGGACTCCAATTTGTACAAATGTGCTGCAAAAAAAAAAAAAAAAAGCGAGATCTAGAACTTGATTTTGGAAACAGAACGTTGAACAGCGCAAGCCAACATTCACGTACACTCCCTTACTTTCCAATCTGGCTTGTTCTGCTGCCTCTCCGACTGCTACACACGAACACGCACCAGTTCAGCTGATCTCACTAAAGATAGCGAGCAGCAGCAAAGCATGTTGTTTCTCTTAGATGGAGACTGATTCATGAATTGACCTTGACTCTGTTCTCCAACAAATCTCCTTTAAAGCTCCGGTGTACTTTTCACTCGTACCCTCGGAAGCTGCGGAATTACCAACACACACACACACACCGAGCTGAAACCCAAATCGATTGGAATTAGAATGCCATATTTTCTAGGGCAGTGTGGTAATTGTAAAATATTCCTAATAGGACTGTATTTTATGATACATGAGCTTTCCGGATGTTCAATATTCCATGTTTGGATTCATTTGCTTCACTATTTATGCTGTTTTTACTCTGAAAGTGAGTTTGACTGACAGGCCGATGGAGCTTTTGACCCGACTGGGCTGCTGTTCGCCGTCCCCGTTCAGCTGCTTCAAACACACACCAAAACCGAAATGATCTTTTTCATTTTAAAGTCTAATTCGGTCAGTAAATGGGGCCTATTGTCTGCTAAGGGAGATTTTTTAATATCCACAAGGTAGCCCTATCAGCTCACATCAAAGTGCTTCAAATCCCTTTTAATCTGCATTAAGGACAAAATTTGAGAAAGCTCACTGTGGGCACCTGTGTAACTGCCTGTTTGATGTGCCCATCTGTCCGGTTCGCCTGACTTTTTTTTTTTTTTATTTGTTGTCTAGGGTCAGTGCAAACCCATAGCTGGACATTAACGCACTCAGATATTCCCTCGAGGTACAGTCGTGCTTCACCTTATGGATATAATGGAATATTACATCGAGTACATTGATCTTGATCTGCAAAACAACTCTATCTAAAAAGAGAGGATGTGACTCTTTAAGCCATTTGAATATCCTTATCCTAAGCTGCAGTGGGGAAGCCTCTGCACTTAGGCTTAGCACTCTCAAGACAGCTACTCCTTGTTAAGCATCGCCTCAGACTCCTAGACTATGAATGGGACCATTACCCCCATCTCTCACTGCACACCCAGATACACACTCGCACACACTCATACATATTTTGGCCTTGATGGGAAACCAGCTCAGGCTAGCTGTGAGAAGGTTCTGCAAGAGGAGATACAATACTTCACCAGGAGACTGCTTTTACAATAGGCTCTTTTTTTTTTTTTGCATTGCTCCCACTCACTCTCTCTAGGCTACAGTCTTTTTACATTACAACCTACAGAACATCAGTTCAATCCCCCAATTGGAGCAGAATGAACTCCTTCATAAGGGCCTCGAGCCAAACACGCATTATAAATCAGCACAGCAGCTATCTGTACAGCCTCTAAACAATTCAGGTTGAGCATCAGCCCCCCATTGTTACACCTCTTTTATTTTATCTCAAAGAATACAAGGCGAGATAGAGAGATCTTATTAGAAATCTATCCTCCGTCAAGCTGAAACCTAGACGACAAATGAAATTCAATGGGAATTTTAAAATAGTCCGAAACTAAAAAGATAAAGACGGTGTGAAAGGTGTTGATCTAAAAGAATACGTCTGTTAGATGCAGTCCCTCATGTAGCCCCTTTGATCTAATAAGCCTACTGTTTCTGAAACAGAATCATAGGTTTTAGAATAAATCCCAGACCTCATCTTCACATGATGCACGTTTGTGGATGGGCTTTAGCGTTATTAAAAGTTCCAGCAGCTACTACATCACAGCGGCCACACCACATCACACCTGACACAAAGAGCTGTCGTCCTGATAACAGAAGTACTGAGGAAGGGAAAGCTGTATATGTTTCTGCTCTCTGTCTGTCTATACTGCTGTCTGTCTACCATCGGACGCCCTGCGTGGAATCTCTAGGCGGTATGTGCATGTGTGCTTCCTGTATCTTAGCGATTTTCTTAATCTCCTTTCAGTGTTTGCCCCTACCATTTTCCATGTGCTCTGCCTCACCGACACTGCCATCCGGCGTTGTCCTCTCGTAGCTGTCCTCAGGCAGGGGAAGGGCGCCCAGCCGGGGGCCCGATGAGCTCTTGCTGCTGGGTGTCTCCGACTCATCCAGGCCGCTGTCGTAGCAGCTCTGCAGCGATCCCTGCTGGTGAGGGTCCTGGGGCTGGCTCACCACCGAGAAGGTCACTCGGCGAAACGGCTACAAGAGAAACCAAACGGCCGGGGGTCACTATAAAAGGGACTGCTTTACTTTTGTCATTGTCAGATGCCAGCTAGGGAGTTGGGTCCTCTGAAGATTAGAGGGGGGGATTCGGGTCAGGATGGTAGGGATATAGGTTGAGGGGGAAAAAGGGGGCAAAGGTAAGGAGACTAGAAGTCGCAGAGGTCTTGTAGCTGGATTTCAAGGACACAAATAATTACAGCTATCTTAAACATCCAAACTAGTCGTAATGCTGCTTTACTGACCCAAAAAATAAACCTCGTCTGTTCTATCACAATAGCCAACAAATATCTTTTATTACGCTCTTCTTTTTTTCTCTCACCCTGAAAACTTTCAATAGAAAGACCTTGTTAAAGGGACACGGAGGAGGCTGTACACTACAAAGGGAGTCTTTCACAAGCTCGGTTGAAGCTCAGGGGACCGAGCAGCCACGGTAGCTAGCTAAACCTGTGTGTTAAATACAGCTAAAGAAGGAAGAATGCACCAGCCTCATTCACTTGTTTATTTGCCCACTAAAAAGAGGACAAGGTGAACAAGCATTCGGCTCTGCAGGAGGTCTGATTTGACGCCAGAGAGCGAAGACGCGAAGGCAAGGACGAGCGCACACAAATAGGCACAGCAGCATGTGATCATGTGCACGCACACGACAACAAAAAAAAAAAAGGTTTTCTCTAGATGAGCTGTGGGTCCACGCTGTCAATATGTGTAGCCTGCTCTAACACATTATTGAACAGTGTCCTGTGTTAAGCAGTAACAGAGCATGTCATTAAAGCCAAGGCCTCTTTCTCACTGTCTCAGTCGGCCTCCCTTCCTCTCTCTATATATATCTCCCTATCCCTGTCTGAGCGCTGTACAAAGGTAATGGCAAAGAGGAGGAATGAAAGAGAGAGAATGAGCATGAGGCGAGGAATGAAAGAGCAGGCTCGGTCATTACCAGAATAAATGGCATAACAAATGGCTAATGCCATTCATTAATTAGATACAAACACTGTCAGAGCTTGCCTCGCTTGCTGCACATCTTCTCTTGCACCTTGTTGGACCTCATCACTTTCTCATGTTCTCCTTCTCTTCTGCATTTGTCCCCCCCCCTTCCTCTGTCCTCCTTGTTTCCTTGTTCCATCATGAGAATATTACACAGGACAGAAGCCCATTACTCAAAAATTTTCCTCCTCTTCCCACCTTCTCCCTCCATTTGTTCCCCAATTGTCTCACCTGATGAGGTAAAAATCCGCTATCAGCCGCTCTGATCACTAACTGTGCCTCCAACCCCCGTCTCCGAGGCAGCCGCAGAAACACCACGTCAAGCTCGGATTCTGTCGTAATTCTGAGTTACAAACGAACGTCAAACACAGATGTAGGGAACATTCTCGATAAGTGTTGACAGATCACCTTAGTAATGCGGACCTCTTTGTTATTTCGCCGTCCCCGAGACACTGGCTGTAAGCACCTCTGAAACTCTGCCAGGAACACACACTGTTGAAGATTCTCTTTTTTGATAATGAAATTTCCCACAAGCCACTGGGAAAAATAGGCAGTGTGTGTGCATGTGTGTGTGTGTGTGTGGGTGTGTGTGTGTCTGGAAATTTGCATTTATTTATATATTTCTGCTCTTTCTCTGGCTGGCTGGCTAACACAGCAATCTTGGCAATAAATCATGTTTCCATGTAATTACAATCAACACTCAACAAATGAATTGGTATAAATATTCATGCAAATTTCACTTGGATAGTCAAACATTTGTTGCATAATTAAAACCGGTGCCCAGAAGGAGAACTGCTCCCTATAAGTGTAATAACACTTGAAGAGATGTTAAGATATTAAACAGTGTTTTTTTTTGTTTTTTTTTAATCTATTTTGTTTGTTTATTTGTTTGGTTATACTCTATTTCTCCAAAACACTTATTTAGTGTGAGGTGTGTGTTAACAAGTCCCAAAGCTTGTGTGGGGCTAAAAAAAAAAAAAAGAGAGAGAGGGAGGGAGAAGAAGTACTTTGTCTGGATCAGATTTAGTGGAGTGCCATACACTTTGGGAAACACGGTTTTCTAATGATACAAATTAAACGACTGTTGCCTAATGAATTGCTGGCGAGATCGTTGCAAAGAAAAGAAACACTCGAGCTAGCACACACCGAGGGAAAATTGAGTTTGGGAGAGAGAAAAGAAGCTGACGGGAAGAGAGAGAGAGAGAGAGAAGAAAAAAAAAAGTTAAATGAACAAATAGATTTTATTCACCTGAATTTCCCCCCTTATTTTCACTGGAGGGAGAGCAAGATAGAAGGGAGAGAAAAAAAAGCTAATTTGTTTGCAGACCAGAAATGGAGTTCATGCAGAGATCGCCGGAGGCTTTGGATTAGAATCTGCAGCAACCACCGTCTGCACAGCAACCTTCGCTCCCTTCATTCTGTGTCTTTTAAATAAATGAATAAAATAAAAAGCGATTCTCTCTCTGTCATTCTGTCATTTTTCTGTTATATTTGTGAGCACGTGTGTGTGTGTGTGTGTGTGTGTGTGTAGGTGTGCGTTTCAGTAGTAGCAGCGAAAGAATTGTCCAACATGCCATGTGAAATCACATATGGCTTTCTGGTTGTCACAACTAGTCTTTTTATCTCTCTCGTGAGCATTCATAGGGAGGATCACTTCGGGACTCGTCACAAGTCCAAACCACAGGAAAAAAAATTAACAATTATCTGCCGTGCACATAGGGAGAATCGGGGTTGACAAGTGCGGTTTTCACTGCCACAGAGATACTGTAATGCATGAGCAATGGCAAAGGAGATTTTAGCAACAGAGCGTTGGTGTTTTACTAAAAGTGCCCTCCTCGCTGTCTGTCCCATGCTGTCATATGGCACAGTTGACCTCCTCTCACCAGATACTGGTCACTCCCAGACCGGATGCGTTTGTTAAACCTGACTTAGTACATGCCCTTTGATGCCGCTCCCTCTACCTCCTCGTCTGACCTCCTGCCCTTCTTGTCCACTCAGCCGCCAATCAATTCAGCAGTGACCGACCCTGGAACACCAGCGCACACACAAACACAATGAAGTGTCATGACCCTTTTAGTGTTTAATTTTAAGGGGCATTATTTCTAAAGAATTACTCGAGAGCCAATTTATTGACACGCTATTATGTGATGAATGGGTTTCTTTAAAAGCCTCTGGTTTAGAAACACACAAAAAAAAACACCTTTACAGCGACACACGGGCATACCTACATGGCTAAACCCCACGCTGTGCCCTGCCAGAGTAGCCAAACTCATAATGTATGGCTTTCATTACAAGTTAGCACTAGTTTGCTTTATTTTTACCAGATGCTGGGTCCCGACAGCGGAGGGCCTCTTTAGGGTGTTCCTGTGATTGAAATCCAGCTGTGACAGCCACGGGTGATTGAGCAAATCCGTCATCCCAAAAAATGAACAATGCAAACAAGCCACAGGTTTACTGGGAGCTCTGGCCGACGCTTGGCCTGGCCTATTTCCTGGATGCTAAAGGGAAAACACATGGGCTTGCCTGACTCAAGCGAACCTGGAGCCAATAAAAACAGGATCGTGCCACTCATGTCAATAATGTGTGACCTCTTGGATTTGATTTTCATTTCCTCCTCCCCCAAACAAAACACTGAGCCGCTGTCAGCAGCACTCTGTTTGAGCCTTCTTTTATCTCCCAGCAAACCTTGAATGGGTGAGACGGTGCTTAGAAGCAGAGTGTTCGGGCTTTTGATGAAACCTCAGAACAATGACACCAGTTAAGAACACTGTTAAGGCACAGTTTAGGCGACATAGTGGCTTTAATGTCAAGTATTTTTTTTGAGGAAGATCTCTTTATCAGAGCTCTACTCGCTTCACATTTAGCGTGGCAAACATCACTCATTAAAGGCACGGTGCATTCATTGAACTCACAATGGCGACTGTGTGATTCCTTTAACCCATTCTCTCTGGATGTCTGGGTGCATAATTAAGCCCACCTTCGACAGGAGCCCCTGGACGGACTGAAGGATAATGGAACGATGGAAGTGAGTCTGGTTGGAAAACACAGTGTGTGTAATTTCAGCTGTAAATACCTTTGGCGGATGGCAGTGACCCATTACCGTGAACCACAGGAAGTAATTGTGGCTGGGTTGGACTTGGGGCAAGGGGAGCAAACATAAACTGCAGGGCCAGTGTCTTATTGCAGTCAACCAAGAGAAATGGAGGGATACAGAGAAGGAAGTTTGAGTAAGTGAGATGGAGAGGAAGATAAAGGCGGCAGTCGAAAAGCGGGGGAGACAAAGAGGCTCAGAGAGAGCGAGAGAGGGGGAACGACACATGAGCGCAGCCACGATTGCCAAAAGTGCCAGTCGGTAATTAAGAAGCCGTGTTTCATATTTAATGGGCAACCAGACAGTGACCTGTGATACGCCACCTGAGACACACAGAAAGTGCCAAATAGCCACGGTACACCAAACAACATACTTGCCGGGATCTTAAATTGGCTCAACTCATTTGCATCTCCCTGCTTTGCAAAGAAAGTTGGTGTAATTCCAGTCCGGTGAATTACAACCATCACGAGATACACTGATGTTAAAGTGATAAACGAGACAAATGCCCTCAAGGTGAGCTGACTGGAAATCAATTGGAATTTGATCAAGGTGGATTCAGGTTCTATTTGGGTGCCGCTCAGTTGTACTCGATTACGACGTCGCAGAACAGAACGCTGACGCTTGGCAAGCCTCGCCAGTCAAAAACAAGCGGGTCGGCTGTACGCGGACGGTCTCTCAGGTGCGTTAAGCCTCCCCTCCCTTGAGTGACCAGGGGAATTTCAAGGAGGGTTTCGGTTAGGGCTGAGTAAGTTGTGGGAATGTTGGCGGAGCGCTGTAGCTGGCTACAGCTTTGTTAGGGCAACCGCCTGCGGAGTCTCAGGTATCATGTTCTAGCCTGACTGATAGCTTTGGCCCTGTCAAGCTCCAGCGCTCCTCTTCACGTTCCCCGTCTTCTTCAAACTTCACT